GTGGGATAAACGGTTCTGAAACCGTTCGACTCGTGTTTGAACAAGTCAAACGCCCAATCTGGCGTTCAGAACCCAACTTCGTGTTCTTTGAATTGAGACGCGAAGTTGGGTGTTAGCTGAACACCATTGAACGCGAGGGTCGCTCGCGTTTGGTTTGTGCCTTGATGACACGAGGGTCGCTGTTGGTTGAACACCATTAAACGCGAGGGTCGCTCACGTTTGGCTTGTGCCTTGATGACGCGAGGGTCAGTGTTGATTGAACACCATTAAACGCGAGGGTCGCTCACGTTTGGCTTATGCCTTGATGACGCGAGGGTCAGTGTTGATTGAACCCCTATGAACGCGAGGGTCGCCCGCGTTTGGATTGTGGCTTGGCGACGCGGGGGTCGCCTTCATTTCCAAAGTGGTGACGCGGGGATGACATCCGCGTTTCAGAATGAGCTATTTGACTTGTAGCTTCTTCTGTGGTGCATTGCAAGGACCGTTGTTCAATAATCCTAGCTTTAGCTGTTGTGGGGTGTGAAAGCCGTCAGATTGTAACTTTCACTGTAGATTGTGAAGACTGCTGCATAGAGTTTTCGTCAATCATCAGGAGTGTCGTTGAATTGTAACTCTTCTCGATCTATGTGAAAAGCCCTCCATTCGCAACTTTCGTTCACCAACCCGAAAACTATTTGATTGTAGGTTTCGTTGTAGGAGCTAGACGGGAATCAACATCCATAGTGTCTTAAAGATGAATATTCGCCCACAGCTCTCTACCAAGCAACTCACCAACTGAGTCCAACCTTTTATTTCTGAAGTCGTCCCACTGCTCATCAGCATCTCTAATAGTTGTTATGATATTAGCCATGCTGTTGTCACAGCCATCAAGATCAATCATCTCAGAAGTGAGGTCGCGTTTGTGGCGATTGTGGAGTTGCGGATGCAGTGATTGGGAAGTCGTCTGATTGTGACCTCCGTTGTCGGAGCTTGTTTGAATAAGCTATCTATTGTGATTTTTAGACAGCCTACACTCGTCAATGATCCACTGCTACTGTGGCAATTTCTGGTGCTAAAGTTTTTGCTGATGAGTGTCCTACAAACCAGATTGCTGAGGAATCTACTTCGAGTGTTACTCTTTCTGTGCCACAATTGATCCAGATGCTTCAAAGGGGAGGCACCTCTATCTCCTCTCCGGTTGCTGCTCCAAGTGTCATTACACCCTCTCCATTTGGTACCTCTGGTCATACCTTTTCCACTACCTCTGGTCCTACAGGTATACCGAAAAATATTTGGATACTGGACTCTGGTGCTTCATTTCATATGACTCCACATGCATCTGTCTTATCCTCTCCATCATCTTTACCTTCTCAAGTCAATGTTTTTACAGCAAATGGCTCTTCTCTCTCTGCTACACATAAGGGATCTATTACTGGTCGCTTATCTGTTCCATTTGTTTTACACATACCACATCTTTCATTGAATTTACTTTCAGTTAGTCAAATAACTGATCATAATTGTATTGTGGTTTTTGACTCTACTTCTTGTTATGTGCAGGATCGTCAGACCGGAGCCTTGATTGGTCAGGGACATAGGCGTGATGGACTTTACATTATGGATCATCTAACACTACCATCCACTTCTATCACCCATTCCGCAGCCGTACACTCTGTCACCACTCGTGATGATGCTCTTTCACAGGAGATCTTTGGCATCATCGATTAGGTCACTTATCTACTGATCGTCTTCGCTTTCTCTCAAATAATGGCGCTTTGGGTAGTTATCCCATTTCAAGTATGTTTATTTGTATGGGATGTAAACTATCTAAACACGTCACTAAACCTTATCCTCTTAGTGAGTCTCAAAGTAGCTTTCCTTTTCAACTCGTGCATTCGGATGTTTGGGGCCCAGCCCCCTTGTCGTCTTGTAATGGTAATAAATATTATGTTATCTTTATTGATAACTTTTCTCGTTACACTTGGGTTTATTTTATGCATCATCGTTCATCTCTACCTCAAATTTATAAAGATTTCACTACTATGATCAAAACTCAGTTTGGCACTACTATTAAAACCTTTCGATCTGATTCTGGTGGTGAATATCTCTCACAGCTTTCATGTCCTTATGCACATCAGCAAAATGGTGTTTCAGAAAGAAAACACCGTCATATTATGGAGACTACAAGATCATTACTCATCTCTAGTTCCATGCCTAAACAATTTTGGGTTGATGCTGTTGCTACAGCTGTGTATCTCATCAATTTGATGCCCTCTTCAGTTCTTTCTGGCATATCACCGTTTGAAAAATTGACATCCCATCGTCCTTCTTATTCACATCTTCGTGTGTTTGGCTGTACTTGTCTAGTTCTATTACCATCTCATGAAAGAGATAAGTTATCTCCACGTTCTGCGATTTGTGTTTTTCTTGGATACAGTCTTGAGCACAAAGGATATCGCTGTTATGATCCAATTAAAAAGAGACTCCGCATTTCCCGAGATGTGACCTTTTTGGAGCATCTTTCATAGTACTCTAGACAGTCCCTAAATGACAATAATACATCACCTACTTCCGTTGATCTTTCATTTCTTGAGCTTACCACACCTTCGATTCCAGCAGATTCACCACCTTCCTCTCCATCTCCATCCTCGGATGATCACCAAAGTGTACATGTTCCAGTCTCACCTACTGACCATTCAAACTCGGCCCCAGATGACGATTTTCACTAGCTGATCGCCGCTATCCTCTCCGTATTCGTAAGGCAAAACAATTCTTTGGTTGTATTTCTTCATCTTTTACTCCTGCTTTTCATGCCTTCTTGACAGCCATTCATTCGCATCATGAGCCTACATCTTATCGTCAGGCTGCTTCTTCTCCTGAGTGGCAAGCATCTATGGAGGAAGAGTTAGCCGCCCTTCAAAAGACTGGTACCTGGGATCTTGTCTCATTACCTCCAGGAAAAGTTCCAATTAGTTGCAAATGGGTTTATAAAATTAAAACCTGTTCAGATGGTACAATAGATCGGTACAAGGCTCGTCTAGTTGCTCGAGGATTTACCCAAGAATATGGGATTGATTATGAGGAGACTTTTGCTCCTGTGGCTAAGATGACATCAGTTCGCGCTCTTATTGCTGTTGCAGCTGCTCAACAGTGGCCTCTCTATCAGCTTGATGTGAAGAACGCTTTTCTTCATGGTGATCTTCATGAAGAAGTTTATATGCACCCACCTCAAGGTCTTCCTCATTTGTCAGGACAAGCCTGACATCTTCGCCGTGCATTATATGGCCTAAAACAAGCTCCTCGAGCCTGGTTTGAGAAATTCAGCTCTGCAGTACTTAATATGGGCTTTATTCAGAGTGAGGCTGATCATGCGATGTTTGTTCATACATTGTAGGTGTAAATTTTGATCTCCCGAAAACAGGGAGCTTCGTTTGTATTGATAAGAAGGCTTATTACAAACTAATAAATCAAATGTTTACAACAGAAACGGATCCGATCGAAGTTGATGCCGGAGCCGGAGCTTCGGTTCTCAAATGAGGGAGCCTTTGGCAAAGGTCCAGGTTCAACCTTTGGGAGATTAGCCAGCAGAATATGCAACGGCCAATCCCCCTTCTTCATGCTGCTGAAGATGGGTTTTAACAGGCAAGGGATGGCATGGGCTCTCCCTTGATTCATGGGATTTGACCACTAATAGAGGTGAGGGAGATAGCTTGACTGCTCCTTGAATTATGGGATGTGACCACACGTTGTTCGGAGACGTCCTGCTGTTCATTCGTACCGTCAATGGTCATTCGAAGAGCTGTGCTCTGCATCACGCTACATAGGAGTGGGAAAGCCCCTCCTCGTATGCGTGACAACGGCTGTCAGATGCTTGCGTGGATCTGACCAACCACCGAGCGTTGGCGGCTCTCGTCCCTTCACCTGGACAACTGAGGTGAGCCGCATTTATGAGGGTGCAGGCTGTTTCGGCGCCTGTCCGCTCATTCGTACTGTGGACGGCCATCTGACGGGCCTGGAGTATTGTGCCCTCTCCCTTGATTTGTGGGATTTGACCACTGATGTAACTGTTCCCATACTCCAAGTGGGCAGTTGACAGTGAGCTGGCGAGTCTGCAGCTTGGGTCTGCAGGCGAGCTTGCAGGCGAACTGGGTCTGCAGGTGAGTTTGGGACTGCAGGCGGACTTGGGTCTGCAGGCGAGCTAGCAGGCGAACTGGGTTTGCAGGCGAGCTCAGGTGCGCAGGCAGACTTGGGTCTGCAGGCGGATTTGGGACTGCAGGCAGACTTGGGTCTGCAGGCGGATTTGAGACTGCAGGCAGAGCTGGGGATTGCAGGCAGACTTGGGTCTGCAGGCGGATTTGGGACTGCAGGCAGACTTGGGTCTGCAGGCGGACTTGGGACTGCAGGCAGACTTGGGTCTGCAGGCGGATTCGCAACTGCAGGCGAAGCTGGGGACTGCAAACGAACCTGGGTCTGCAGGCGATCTTCAAGCCGTTAGGCGAGCTCTATAGCATGGATCGAAGAATAGGCCGTAACTTTCAAACCGTAAGTCGGAATTGGACGAATTATATATGAAAATCGCCTATCTCGACGAGATGGAGCCATCCGAACCGAGCCGAAGGCTTTGGTTCGCTTCCTCCGTTTCGCCAAATTCCTTACGGTTTGAGAGATATCTGCGTTTTCCCCTTTTTTCTGCTATTTCAGGCGAGTTTTTTAGCAGTTTTGTTCTGAACTTCTCTGATAAGGATTAAAGGTAATTTTTATTGCCTACAGATGGCGGCTGACGACTGGAGGGGAAGTCATTCGAGCACAGGAGGGGACGTCTTGGAAATATTCCAGATTCGATAGATGAGACAGAACGGAGGATAGGCTGACTGTTTGGGCCTCCTTCCCTTACCAGATGGCGGCTGTCGACTGGAGGGGAAGTTATTCGAGCACAGAAAGGGGCGTCTTGGAAATATCCCAGATTCGATAGATGAGACAGAACGGAGGATAGGCCGACTGTTTGGGTCTCCTTCCCTTGCCAGATGGCGGCTGGTGACTGGAGGAGAAGTCATTCTAGCACAGGAGAGTATCTTAGCGATCTCTGGTAACTGACTCATGGGCAGAGTGAGCTGTTTCCGCACGAGATTTGTCAGAGTTGCGATCTTGAGAGGACCACTCAATAAATTGTGCTGTTGATTGATGTATCTGTGAAGGTAGCTTAGCTGGATCTTATCCCCTTAGTAAAGACGGATCGATTTGTCAGTCGCCCATATGATTTGTCGCCAATTAGTCAAGTGAGTTTCTGGTCGAGTGAACTGCCGAGAAAGTGATCGAGCCGACTATTTGGGGAATCGTCTCGACTTATAAGGGTCGACTAATCCCGCACTTTGTGTCGTTTAAAGAGGACTCGTTTCCTCGACCGGTCAATATATTTGCCCTTGGTTGGGCCTTTGGGCCACTATTTTATAACTTGGATCATATGAAATCAATCTTTCGACATCTTTATCTTTATCTTTAAATAGTAAATTATCATAACAGAATCCACCTGTTATTTTAGTGTCTGAAAAATATAAGTATGAAATACTTTTCTTACCTTCCTGAACTTCCGTCGAGATACAACGTTTCGTCTGATATCAGACTTATCTTCTATTTTTTTATATTTCGATATCATTAATTTAGCAAGCATCAGACTAATCAGTGAAGGTGTAACGTAGCTCAGTCTACAAACTCAGCGGGAGACATTTGTGGCTCCACACCACACATTTACAAATTTAGTTCCTTCACGTGGTAGTTGACGATTGGAAAATATTTGGAACATGGGAAGAATTTGAGAATATTCTATTCTTTAGCAAATGTTTTCTATTATTTACTATATTTAAACGATGTCTGGATAATAGAAAGTGAACGGTATAAAGCCAGAGTGACATCGATTTATTTATTTCTCATTTGACTTTGCATATAAATTTGACGGTAGAAATTAATGAGCATCTTAAGCTCCCATGATAAGTAGGTGAAAAAAAAAGTAAAACATTTCTTTCTTCTCCTCATGCACTCCTTATTTACTTTCTCAAACAATTTGAGACTCCGAAAAAAAAATTAATATCTGATATGATATTCGATCTTTTTTAATGGCTAATTGGCACTTAAATACTATAGTTCCGCCACACGTTTTTTTTCTTTTAGGTTTGGCGAGGGAACTTCTTCACGATCATTTGAATCATGGGTATCGAATCTGTGGGCGTGACCAAGGGGCATCCCCTAACGCACGGCCTCGGGTATTTAAAATTAAGTTCATATGAGTGTTTCTTAGAAAAGTCTAATCTGATGCTTTAAAGTACTACTTATGGGCAGCATACCAATCCAGTTAGACCCTCTTAAATTATTTCGTCACACAGTTATACAATACATTTTCATAAAGTAGGGTATTAGTACCTACTATTAGACAACCATGACAATATTTCCCATAGGTGGCTGTTTGGTTAGTTTCCCTGATTACAGGAAACTTATTTCCAAGCATAGATATTGCTTTTCATGTGTTTTTAAAAGGTTTTTTAAAAATTTTTTGTTCCGTCACAAAATAGGATTGGAAACAGATCTCCTCACATCTCCATTGTTTGTTTCACAACAAGAAAAAAATACTAAGAATAGGAAATCTTACCCACCCATCACTAGAATAGGAAAAATAATAATTATTTAATCTTTTTTCATCTCTCATTTCCGAACCCAAAGCTCGGAAACGGGTATTTCCTTAACTCTGATTTGGCTGGTGATTTCTACAACTCATTTTCATAAATCTTGTGTTGAACCAAACTGAGGAATAGAAGATCTTTTTAAACTTAGATTTCCCACTGTCATACTGTCAGTATAAGAAATCTATTTCTCTTCGGAATTTTTGTCAAACAAACAGCCACTAGAAGGATTGTCACGTGATGCGATCAGCTATTTGTTTCCTTTCAGGGCCCGTTTGTTTGGCGTTGGGAGATTTCCTAAAAACCAAGAAAAAGAAATCTATGTACTTTTTTCATTAAAATATTATTTTTATCCACTTCCATCCATAAAACTCAATCCAAGAAAAAGAAATCTATACACTTTTATCAATAAAATATTATTTTTATCCACCAACTCATCACATCTTATCTCCTTTCTTACTTTTAAAAATATACCAAACACAAGAAACGGGTCACATCATCCAACTCATCTCATCTCATATTTAAAAATCACTCACATCATCCAATAATATGGTGACAACTCATCTCATCTCATTAACATTTCATTTCCACCCATTTCCTCAAAAAAAAAAAGAAATTGATTTCCTTAAGTGTGGGTCACATCATCCAATAATATACAAACAACTCATCTCATCTCATCTATTTTCTTATTTTTAAGAATGAACCAAACACAAGAAAAAATTTATTATAGGAAATAGGTTTCTTATAATACATTTTCTTATTTTTTTAACCAACCAAACAATCTCAAAACAAGTTTTCTTAAAAAATCACTCACATCATCCAATAATATGATGACAACTCATCTCATCTCATCTCCTATTCTTTGATTTCCTTCTTTTTTTAACCAACCAAACAACCATAATGCCGTCACAAACCCAAAACCCAGCGAGCCGACCGTCTTCACGGGGACGGAATATTCCGCTATCCGAACCACCGTCGCCCTCGCCGTCTGGCTCGGCGCCATCCACTTCAACGCCGCCGCCGTCCTCATCGCCGTATTCCTCCTCCCCCTCCGCCTCGCCGTCACGTGCGTAGCGTACCCTTCTGAGATTTCTAGTTTTCGCCACTGGGTTTTGTGGTTATTTACCGTCTTGCCATTTTGCAGTGTATTTGGGTTGCTGGTTCTGTTCATGGTGATTCCGTTGAATGATAAGAACAAACGGGGAGGGAAATTATCGAGGTTTGAGGGAGAAGAGAAACCCATATTTCTATTATTTTTTTTAGTTATTTTTTTTGAATTTTTGATGATTTCTTTTTCGGGGGGAATATACAGGTTTATCTGTAAATATGCGTGTGGGTATTTCCCAATAACTCTTCATGTGGAGGACATTAAGGCCTTTGATCCAAACCGACCTTATGGTGAGATTTTGGAGTTTTTTCTTTGATTTTGATCACTTTTAGTTTGGTTTTTGTGAAGCTCAAAATGGGTTCTCTTCTAGTTTACGGAGACATTTGTAGTTGAATAGTTGGAGATATTCCATTTTGTATGAGGTTGGAAGACAGCCCACATAATAAAATTCTCATAATCCGAGTTTTTCCTGTGATTCTAGTGATTTTATAGTTGTTGAGGCAATAAAGAGTATCAGATTGTTTTGACTCTAAAGTTGTAATTTTTTTTAATGTAGGACTGTACTCACACATGAAATTTCCAATATTAGTTTACTTTGATATGATTCCTTGATCCTTAGTAGTTCGGAGATCAGTTACTCAAGAGTATTATCAGATACATTTGTAGTTAAATAATTGTGAAGCTCAAAAATGAGTTCTCTGCTAGTTTGCTACTACATTTGTAGTTGAATGATTGGAGATGAACCATTTTATTTTCTCATAATCAAGTTTTTATTTTTTTTTTTGCGATTCCTAGTAATTTTTTAGTTGTGAGACAGTAAAGAGTATCGGATTCTTTTGATTCAAAATTAGATATAGAAATGATTTAATCCAAAAGCTTAAGTTGTTAGGCATTGATCAAATGATTTAATCCAAAAGCTTAAGTTGTTAGGCATTGATCCCAACTTTCGTTTATGTTAACTGCTCATTTCTAGTTCTTCTGATGTATTGTTAGGCATTGATCCCAACTTTCGTTTATGTTAACTGCTCATTTCTAGTTCTTCTGATGTACGACTGTGTTTACACATTAAATTTCCAATATTAGTTGATTGTTAAATGATCCTTTGATCCTACGTCCTTTGGGGATCAATTACGCAGTGTATTATCAGATTCTTTTGATGGTAACATTTAGATTCTTATGAATTTTTTTTTGGGGTGTCTACTTCAGTGTTCGGATACGAGCCACATTCGGTATTACCTATTGCTGTATGTGCGCTTGCTGATCACACTGGTTTCATGCCATTGCCAAAGATCAAGGTCCTTGCAAGTAGTGCTGTAAGGTCTTCTGCCATTAACATTTTCTTTTCTTTTGGGAATCGATGTGTTAAAATCAGAGTACCTCCTTTACTCTTTCACTAATACTAATATGTCTGTTCATAATAATGATTCAGGTGTTTTACACACCATTCTTGAGGCAGATATGGACATGGTTAGGGCTGGTTCCAGCGTCCAGAAAGAATTTTTACTCGTATCTGAAAGCTGGCTATAGTTGCATAGTAGTGCCTGGTGGTGTTCAGGAAATTATCCATATGGACCATAAATCTGAGGTGTGCCTAAAACCTCGATTTTTTTTTCTTTTTCTTTTTCTTTTTCTTTTTCTTTTTCATTGCTTGAATTTCTTATAAATTCATTGAAATCTTACCATGTTCTGATTATTGTAAATGTAGCGTAGTTGATGCTAGCTTAAAGGCCAAATTATGTGCACATATATTTGTTTCCTTTATGTTTGGAGGTTTTGTTAATCTTTTTTTAATGGAACTCCTGCCTAAATGCTTTCTTCTCATTTTTTACTGATAATGCCGGATGCTTGACTAAAATAACTATCAAATACAGAACCAGTAGTATTAATGAAGCATTAAATTCCATACGAAGGAAACTGGTATTCACAACTACATCATGTAGCATGTCTGTTATTTCCTGGGGCTTCCATGCATGTCAAGTTGATACATAGAACATAACAGAGATCCATACACAAACATAGAAGCACACAAACAGAAAAAATAAATCAATAGCACTCATAGAGCTTAACATCCATCTGGACCTTGAAGTATGTCAAACTTGCCGACAATGTCTTAAAGGTGGCAATTCCACGTGCCATGAAGAAATCCCCAGTTCCGCCCACCACAGAGAGGTCTCTAGTCTCCATCATCATTAGATCCGCACCCATTAAGTTAATCGTACCTTTATACTTAGTTGAGTTGAAGACAAGAGTATAGGAAAACCAGGCATTGTAGTCCGTCTTCATGTCATAGAAATAGAAGCCCTGCGCTCTGGCAACAGGTGGAGACAAGAGGTTGGGGTCGGCAGTGACAGCGTCGTCAAACACAATCAACTTACCGAACTTAAAGTTGCCGAGAGCAGTCTGGTTTGCAACCACTGCGGCAGTTGCATTTGCTTCATTGGTGCCGTCGAACAGAAGGTCGTGCAAGTAGAGGACTAGACGCTTGCACGGTTTATCTTTGTTAATCATCATCTTGCCTCTTTGCGCCCACTTATAATGATCATCATCATATTCATGATCATTAGTAGTAGCAGTAGTTGAAGCAGCAGCACTAGCAATATTAATGAGGATCAGCAGAAAAAGATAAGAACAGACTCTATTTCTACTGTTGGATACTGCTGGTCTTGCTCCTTGCATCTTATCTAAGAAAAGCTGATAAGTTTAATCAGAGGAGATAATATTTGGACTGAAACTAGTCCTAGCGTTGCACTATATGTATAGATTCTAGTTTGTTAAAGTTGTTGATCTGCCAAGGTATTAGTTGATGAATATATTTTATTTGGCAAGGTTAGGTTGCTGACGTCCTCTTTTTAAAGGTTTGGTACTGACAAAACTCTCAGAATTGATTCCTTTATTGTGTAATGAGATTCGTTTTATGTACGAGTCTGATTGTAAAAGAAATCCGATCTACACTATGTTATATGCTTTATTTGGCTTCCCCTCATGTTTTCTTCTTTTTTACTACTTCAAGAGCCTAACTACAGAATATGCTCACAAAGTTTTATATGGCGGTAGTTATAAAGTAATTCTAGAGATGAGTTCTCGTTTCCTTTCGCCATGTTGAATGATCTTGTTTGAATTTTTGGTCTTGTTTGTATGATATACATCATAGATTCAGATTTTGAACAGGAAATTCTTAAATATGCTTGTTTGCCCAACATTGTGTGTATGGATGGGTAAGTGCTTGCTACCAAAAATATCTACTACTCTACCAAACCAAACAAATTGTACCTACTGCACATATTCCAGCTAATAAGAGAATGTTCTTTATTACCTCAGTGTGGTTTTAGGATCATAACATATTTTCACCTTATTGAATACTCTTATCATCATCATTATCTTCATATAAGACTTTTCTTCGTCACTTAGACCTATGACACTGCCCCCTTAAATATAAGGGTTAATCGTAGTTACTTCCCCTTGTATTATAGGAGTTAGCCTCTTATAATCCTTGAAACTTTTTTTATTAACACTTTGATCCCATGATGTCCAAATTGAGTTGTCTCTACATACTTTGTTCTGCGGATTGTTTAGCTAATTTTGTAGTCTTATTTTGTTTGGTGTTTAGTCAAGTTTAAGATGCCAATATGCACTATTTCCATCGTCACTCCATATTCTGGGTGTATTCAGCTTCCTATTGATGATGCTTATTTAAGTCTTTCACTTTACTCGCCACCTTTGTCTTCTGTCACATTGTGGTAAAGTACACTTGTTTTTCCATTTCAATGCATGTAAGTCCTTGAATTCCTAATAATTGTTTGGTTGTAGGTGGCATTTCTGAAATCAAGAAAGGGGTTTGTACGGATAGCCATGGAGATGGGCGCACCTCTTGTACCAACATTTTGCTTCGGTCAGGTGAGATAATATGATTGTATTTTTTGTGCTCACTCAGCAACAATAACAAGATCAAAGCTTTTATACCAAATATATTGCTTTGTTTAGGGCTATCTCCTCTGTTTGATTAACTACTAATGTATCCTTCTTACTTGTTGCCAACCATGTTCTCTTTGGTCTACCTCTAGTCCTCTTTGTCCCATTCAATATAAATTTTTTGGTTTGATTTCATAAAACCCTCAAATTTGTGGGGTTTTCCATTCCCTGTAAATGACAAATAACTAAATTCGGAATTTTTTCTGTCAAGGAAATTATAGTTATTTGCAGTTATAGTTAGGTGGTCTGGTGAGAAAAGTTCAAAGTTTAGGGGGTTTTGTGAGACACCCCAGAGTTCCGGGGACTTACATGAGTTAAAAAGTTACTGAGGGGTTTTGCAAAACCACTCAAAGTTCAGGGTTTTTTTAATTAACCCTTGTAATCTTATTATCTCTCTTAAACGGTGCAATTTGTTCCGCGGTTGCACGGGTACAAATAATCTCACGTGATTCTTCTCGCTTTATCATTAACTAGTGTGCAACCTGTGCAAAGCCCCGCTCTCTATTTTTTTAAGCACTGTATTTTGAACTTGCCTCCCTCTAAGTTTTAATATATTTGATTTAATTATTGTATGCTTAAAATTAGAAATCATATTTACTCCTCTATATTTAAAAGGATTCAGGTTTTAATTCATTTGATTTAAAAATCATATCTACTCCTCTATACTTAAAGAATTCTATACTTAAAGAATGATCCAAATTTTAATACATTTGATATGCTTTACTGTTTATGACACAGTAACACTGTAGTATGAATACTTACTACTACTGCAGCATAAACAGTAACTCCGAGTGAAGTGTAGAGGACCCGATTAATTTATTGTTCATGGTACACTAAATACTGTACCCATTACTGTAGTATGCACAATAATTCTTTGGGTTCTCTAACCCCTTGCAAATGCATACATTTCCTATTTTATCTCTTAGTGCATATTCACAAGTTACATCATGACATTGTCATTTCTCAGTTTATACCTCTCCTTTTCTCTTTATGAGAGAGAGGGAGCATGAGATGATGTGATTGTGCTGCTCAATTTTTTCTTCGTACAATCATCTGCAGAGTCATATTTACAAGTGGTGGAAGCCCAGTGGGAAATTGTTTGTGCAGATTGCTAGAGCAATCAAGTTCACACCGATCATATTCTGGGGAAGATTTGGGTATAGAAATCCTACATTTATGCTTGTTTTTGTCGAGTTTTAAGTACTTTAGTTTTTATGACTTGGGTTTATCTGTACTGGTTCTTGTCTTTTCAGGTCACCTATACCATTTCGACAACCAATGCATGTTGTAGTTGGAAGACCGATCGAGCTTAAGAAAAATCCTCAGCCAACAATGGAAGAGGTACATAAAATTTTGCACTTCTTCGTCTGTTTTGTACAATTTTTTTTTAGTCCAAATGCTTTCTCAGTTCTGTAAAAGACTAAATTCTTTTTTACCTCTGTTTTATCACTGAACATAGGAGGTCTATCTACAGTGGATATTTGTAATGTTATCTAGTTCATGGTGTCTATGTCTATATCCATGTCTATGAATTCGTGGTGCACGTTATTCTTCAACTGCTAGTTATTTTTATTTTCTTCCCACAAATTACTTGGTTATGAGAAAATTGATGATGTAGACTGAAGATAATGTCGTAGCTAAAGTGAGCTCACCATAG